ATTGGCCATCATGGATTTTGGTCGAAAAAATTATCCTATTTCCAGTTCTTCCAAGACTGATGTGACTTAAACACCCATCCGAGGTTGGAGTGAAATCTCTTTACCTGTTTAGCAAACAACATAAATATATAACTTATAATCTGAGCCGGCCGTCCTTTCGCATTTCCATCGCAAAGTTCCCATGTCCTTTGGTGTCGGTACACATGTGTATCACACCGTAGACGCTAAACTCAATTTTGTTCAGCTTGTAGTTGCAACAAATTGTTTTTCGTGTTTGCCTTTATACCACGTACCTTTATACCTTAGGTGAGGTAAACAGAAAACATAATGGGTAGGATATCCCCTTTGCAAAAGTCCCCACATAGGGCCCTCTTGTTTTTAATTAGCAGAACCAACTGGGCTCGGGATAAGCACACCGAAAGAAAAGTTATCCGTCCGAATGGCCAATAAAATACCCTTGGAAAAAAGTAGAAATGGTTATATTTTAATTAAAAACTTTAAAATTAGTTTTAACTTTTGAATGACTTTAAAAGATTTGGATCGGATCGTATAAAATCCGATATCATTTAATGTATTAGTATTACATAATTTATATTTATTTTTATTACGGTGATCGAGAAAACTTCTTGACAAGGCCAAAGAAATATATAACTACTGGACAAAATTATGATGAAAGTTGGCCTGGCTATAAAGGAAAGGTTCTCAGATTCTCACTAATTAAGCCGAGTTGCAAGTGAATCAAATAGAATATGAAGTGCAATAACAATGGCTCCATAAAGTCAAGACCAATCAGCAGCACTTGATAGACAAGCAAACATGGAAAAACAATGGAATTATTTAACAGGCGTTTGGCGAAACTTTATATGGGTCTAATTGGAAAGTTTTCTGAGTCGGCCCAGGATTCTTCTATATTTGTTTCCTGTCACTGGCACATTAGACATCAACTTCCCGACATTCGTTGGCCATAAGACTAATCCCCGTGAGAAATTCCGATTTCACTCCTGAAAAACGAGGTTTCCATTTACCTTCACGTAAATTATGCTCTTTTTCACACCTAATACTGTGCTTCGTCCAGCTGCATTGTCAAATCAGCGACGACCGTTTTATAAATTAGCATTTTAAATATTTTGGCCACATTTTGACTTTGATTTGCCATTAGTCATGCGCCTCGCTGGCGGCGCTTTAGGCGGCCGGAAGGCGCGTGATAGAATTTGATAAATTCACCATTTTATTTGGCATTTGAGCGATTTCATTAGCTAGTGTAAATTCAATTAGTAAATAAATTAAGTGAATATTACCAATTTCCATGCGAGCCACGACCCAACATCCCCGCTAAAACACAAGGGCACCGCCATATTCGTGCGTGGCCCTCTATCGGTGGTCATAACTTGCGGACGAGACGGGACAACACCGCCGGCGCATCGATCATTGGGGAGCCGCGATGTTTTGGGTAATCGACCCAACACGCAACTGAGTCAACAGACTGGCACTGCAAATTGTTAAATGACTGGGAATAGCCTCAAAATGTGTTCGTTGTGTAAACTACTGGCATGGTCCCGGTGTTTCAAAAAAAAAATAAAAAAATTTTAGGCAGTCCTTGACGGGGTAGAGGTTAGGGAGTTTGATGTACTCGTTCAAAGATTTCTTGATAGACTGTTCTAAAGAAATAATGTTCTGCAGAATATACACTTTCAATATACAACTTGAATATTCTTTTTAATCATTTATAAAACCACCTTTATACTCTTAACTTCAACACGTGGAATTTTAACAATTGCTCAGGGTTTACCTGGCACTTTTTTTCATGTCGTCTGCTTTACAGCCAAATGATTTAAGTGACAAAACTTTGCAGACAACGGGAGTACCACAAATTAAAAAAAATAAAGACACAAAATAGAACTCTCGGATAAAAAAAAAGAGCTATTCCACGAAGGAGCAACCTTGGAGGGCCTGTTAAAGAAAATTGCAAGCGCGGCATGAACAATTAAAACCAAATAACACGCATACGCCACGTGTGCACAATTTGTTGCTGCAGCTGCCCAGGGAAAAATAAATTACTCAATTCCAGCTTCGGCTGACAGCTAGCCCAGACAGAGCTATAATGCGAATGTCGAATTTTCAAGAGAACTTTAATTAAACTAAGCCACAGAGTTGATGGCGAAGTCGGAACGAGACTGTATACGGATGGTGTCAGGGGGTTTCGTGACCTCAAATGGCAGCTAGGATGGCGCACCCTCAAAGGTGGACATTGAGTAGCCGAAAAAGAAACAACACTGATATACGGTAGACTGTGCCAGGGAGCGGCCGGTGACCCAGACAAGGCTAGGTGACTTTTGCACGACTATCGCCTCACTTAATCTTGGCCAGCCGAACATTGCCGCAACGTGTGACGCGCAAATGTGTGCTCTGCTTTTTCATTTCATTTCACTTTAATTTTATTTGGACGCTATTTCGTGTCTTGCGAACAGTGATGGTTACGTGAGTAAGATATACAATGCTCTTAGAAGCTCTTAAATATACATACATAAATTTATCGAACTTCAAACTTTATAGTGCCTCTACTTATTTCACTTTTTTGTTTTTGCATGGTCTTTTGCCATCGTCAATTGACCAACCACGACTCTTAAGATAACTCGCAAGCCATCAGTGCCAAGGAATAATTAGTGAAAGTGATTTGTATCGCTTGACTTGGTCCGTCTAAAAATACCTGGCATTTCAGGCGCCCTGCCACTTTGTCGTTTGCCCATTTAATTTCCATTCAATCCCTCCTTTCTAGCCGGCTTAAGTTTCTTATCTGGGAGCTGGGGACTGGAATTTAAATGCACCTCACTTTTGTCTTTGCCTCCAATCTTATGAAGCTAGGAAATGCATTCTGTCGAAGTGCCTGTCGGATATCGTTGGTTCAAGTGGCTCGGGATTTAAGGAATTTTCTTGCTTACTTGGATTTTTAATCAAGCATCTGAGCAACGGTACTGTGAGGAATAATTGGATATGCAAAAATTACTCTTTACTCCACTAATCTTATTTATATTTTTTTGATTTACTTTAACTTAAAGTCATAGATGCGCTTTGAAACTCTTGATTAAGTTATTAAAACTTCTATCGAACAAAGTAGTTCCAGAAGAAGCCTATAATTAAAGGCTTCTAAAGGTGTACTTCTCCTAAGACCATGTGTGTGTGGGACTGTGCGGGGCAACCAATCAAAGTTCAAAAGTTCACATCATTGACAGCGAACAACTTTGGCTGCTTTTGGTCCAACTCAAATTAAGAAGAGATAGCTGGCAAGTCGAGGAGACGCAAAAAACTTTTATCATTTTCACAGTCCAAGAGAGCAACGAGAATAGTTAGTTACGGCATACTTACCCCATTACTTCCATGCTATGGCAGGATCTCAGTTGCTCCACCGTTTTCTCGCCTTCTTCATATTGTCGCTAGTATAAGCAGCTTAATTTTTGATGTGGTTGTCAAGGGTAAGCCCTCAAGCCTGCCGTATCCCCGGATGCATTCAAACAATCAATCACCTCCCTTCACATGATGCAAAAATGTGTCCTATTCGCACCTCCACTCATCCAGTCATCCCTCCCTCCTGTCATTCTGCCAGCAAATACCAAAGTCCCGGGCCAATCAAGCCCAAGGTATGACTGCAAATCTGTGGGCATAACAGCAAATGCCTTCAATCCGGGACACAAGGCCTGTCGTTGCTATTGCTGCTGTTGTTTCCTTTCTGGGATGCTGCCTTCTGTCCTCTTTTCTGCGTTGCTGAGCGCCGAGTACGCGGAGGCATGAAATTGGGTCACCCAAGTGAGAGGCGGGGTTCTAGGTCCCGGGCTATGTCGATGCGTTACGTTCCGTTCCGTATCGCATGAATTCAGTTTGGCCACCCGACAGACGTACAAATGGCAATTTACACTAAAAGAAGAATTATGTCTCATCCTTTCCGGTAGCCTTTACATAAATACATAGAATGAATTATAGAATATATATTCTATAATCCTCCTTGTCCTTATTTAATTATTTTTTTTTTAAACTTCGTACAATAAATTTTTTGGTTAGTTCTTTGCGAGCAGTGTGTTTTTTTTGGTGTGCAGGTGGATGGCAGCTGCTGAATGGATGGTGGCTTCTAGTGGGCTGCGAGTGGAGTGGCCACGCAGTAAGGAAGCCAGCGCACGCTAAGCGCCTTGATAGAGCTCATCATAATTTTTGGGGCGCCATAGTGGAAAACAAAATGAAGAAAAACAAACCAAAATGGAGCACGGCGGAGCGAACAAAAGCAACATGTTTAGCGGAGAGAAGTGTTGGAAATAGAGAGAGAGAGAGAGAGAAAGCTTGAATTTCGAGCTTTTCGAGTTTTTGTCACTGATTACCGATAACCTTCATCTTGAACTTCATGGACGGCCGGAGAGCTGGGAAATAAATGGTAGGTGTAATTGCGTGAATGACTGAGAGTTCTATGTTTCCTTTCTAGGCCTTATTGGATCATGGCTGTCTTGGGCCATAAAAACATATGCAACAGGAGGGAGTTCCTTCATAACAAAAAGCTAAGGATAGGCGGGTGATGAAACAATTTGGATAAGGATTGTTTCAACAATGTAAATTATTTAAAAAAATATAGAAATAAGGTATGGAAACGATATTAGAAACATTTTTTACATTAAAACATGTTACAGTTGTATTAATTTATTTGTAATGTGAGCTCAGTTATCACGCGTGTACTAATAAATTAAAGGACAAAAAAATTAAAATTTATTAAGTTAATTTTAAATTTAAGACACAAATCTAAAATTTTAAATTTTAAAAACCCAACGGCTGAACTTTATATGAGCTTTGTACAAGTCGTGAACCAACTTTAAAAAACATCGCGTTAACCTCTCCCCAAGCTTTCACTCTCTTTGGCTCTCTCTGAGTTTTCTAATGTGGCGCTCTCACAAACACAATCACAGGCTCTTATCAGCAGGCTGGAAGCGGACAGGACCCGCTTTTAAGAATAGCACAGGAGCAGTAGCAGCAGCAGTTGTGGTAGCAGTAGCAACAGTGCGATAGATGCACGGACTCATAAGGTGAAACACGAAACTGGAGCAGTTCAGTTCGCTGAAGGCAGGCGTCGCTGAAGGTAGTACAGAATACTGGATACTGGACACAGGAGACATTGGAGTCAGAAACTGAACGGGAAAATTTGTGTTCATGATTTTTAAAGCGACTTACCGTCGGGGCTGACTAAAAACATGGTCCAGAACAAATCCAAAAAAATCCTTTACCAAAATAGAAAAGTGAAAGTGAGTGCGCGTCGCGAAAAAAACACTCGACAGAATCGAACAATCGGAGCTGAAGTGAAATGCGACCAAACTAAGCCAAATTAAATAAAAGTTAATTGAGAGAGGTGGGCAAAAACAATTAAAAGCGTTAAATTACATTTAGCTGAAGGACGAAGGACAACCGATAGCAGGACCGCCACATCGTTTTGTGTCACGGTGCATTTGCACATAATTGCAAACTGTTGCGTGGCCTGCAGTTTCACTTTTTATTGCCAGGCTATAAAATAAAAATCCATTTGCCTGAAACCCTTATTTTCGACCCACCACACAGACAGACACTCAGCTACACTCTACACTCTCAGCTGTTGCATACTTGAAACACGAAACCATATAGAGAATAGGGTCCTGGATACAGGACACCATTCAGAGACTGCAGTCGGAAGCCCACAGAACATAACCATTTATTTTACGATCTCAGCCTTGGACATGCCCCATTAAATATGCCTTTCAATGTTTTGTTCAAGTTGAAACGGAAGACGAAAAACGTAAAGTGTACAACCAAGCCTTATGCCAAAGTAAATTTCACAAAAATATTCTCCCAAAAAGACAACCAAAAATATATGCATATAGAAACGGAAGCATCTAAGGATAGAAGAATCAACTTTCAGGGAAATTTGCATCCGATTTTTTTGATACAGGAGTGTCATATTATGGAGTCATAAAAGTTGAGGAGCACTATTGGACCAGGTGAGTGCTTGGGCTGAGTTCTAATTATAAAAAGTTCTATTATTCTGCCAATCCTGCCATTGACTCTCATTTGCCTTCAATGCAATTATTGGTAGTCAAAGTATTCACTATTTGTTAATTATTGATGCCAGGCAGCGATATTTATTTAAAGTAAATTCATTTCGATTAACAATTCATGGGCAAAATATGAATATACGTGTATTAAATATGAATATATGTACGTTTATTATTAACACCTGTTTGCTAAGGGGTTTTTTTCTGGAGCTAGACTGTATTTAAACATGTTGAGTCTGCTTAATTATTGCCATGAAGTATTCTATAATTTTTTGTGTATCAATATTGGTTTATGAAATTGGTTACCGTTTAATGATGCATTCTCTCCGAATAAATCTGGAAAAAGTCAGATATCGACGATGCGAATAGGACGCGTTTTCCTTTAATCAGGGAAAAAGCAAATATTATTTGATGTTCTGTTGCCGGGGGCGACTTTAATGGCCCCTGTCGTATCTGATATCTGATGGGGAAAAACTATTATGACCACGTATACGTGGTATTTCGCGTATTACTCTTGTATACATATATGTATATGTAAGTATTTTATTAAATATGTAGTGCAATTTTTTGCTGGCCTGCGAAATGTGCAGCTGTTGTTTTTGTGCCGTTTTATGGGGAAGAGTGATAGGGATTGTGGGTCTGGCCCATAAAACGATAAATAGGCATCCACTATAGCATCTGCTGATAAAATACAAACCACAGCAATGGCAACAGGCACAAGCAACGTGTCGTTACCCCGCTGCTTGCGGTAAAAAAACCCTTTGGACATATGTTCATGTCTATATTCTGATGCAATCAATGAAAAAAACAAGTTCTTTATCTAAAGCCATAAATTCTGGACCTCAAGGTCTGGACCAAGTCATTCGGGAGGTCGGGAGTTATGCTTTACTGTCAACTTTGTTAATTAAATGAAGCACTTAGCATCGACACATATTTTGCGCCAGAAACACCGCAGGCTCCCCCTGCCAAAGAATCCTTTCCAGTTTTTGTTTTTGTTTTTTTTTGCTTTATTATTATTTTTTTTGTTGACTTCACAATTTGGTGTTCCAGTTCCATTTTAATGACTGTCCAGCTTTGAATGCTTTCGAACTTCTTATCATAATTTCCATTTTGCTTCCGTTCGCCGTTGCCGTTTGCCACTTGTGTGCTTTATTGCTCGCCCTGGTAACGCACCACCCGGCACGCTGTACCCCTCCATTTGATCCTTTGCCTCTCCAATTAAATGTGGACAACTTCAAAGACTTCTGTGGGCATTTCATTAAAAATACTCTTATCGCCAGAACGTTAGCCTTTTTCATTCCTGCCAGTGCTGATTAACATAAAGGATACTTTAAATAAATAAGTTACAAAATTATTTATTTTCACTAATTTCCAAAAACGACAATAAGTGCAAAAAAAATGTTTATTGTTAATGACAGCACAACTTTACCTATTTATTATTTGTAGTTTAATGTTGTTAAACAATTCATTTTGTGTTTTGCCTGGCTTTTCTCCCAAAAAATGCTTTTGACAAACGCTTTCCCTTGATTGTTTGTTTGTTAGCCGGTATTTGTTGCGGTTTTCGTGGTCAGTTGGAGAATGGTTTCTGGCCAAAGCAAAAACCAATAGTTTAGAGCTTCAACCAAAATTGCTGAATTATTGTTTGTAATTTTGCGTTTCTGAGTTAAAATTAAGTGAACGAAATGTGTATGAAATTATGTGTTAGCTTTCTAAAATGTAGGTTTCTAGGCATCCTAGCTGTTTGGGTACCTGTGAAATTTGAAAGAAAACTCCGTTCATAATGAATAAAAAGCTTTAGTAATGCGATCTCTTTTGACCTTGTCCTATTATGTCTTTTACTTCCAAGCTGTGGGAAGGCATTTTCCATGTGTTACCATGTGAATGGGCTCACTAACATTAAATATTCGATTTATATTGCCCTAATATGCGACAATAAGTATCTTTCATAAGCTCGATATTGAGGAATCGTATTTCCACCGCGGTCCCCCTTTAACTTATAGCACCCCTCATTCAATTTCTGATGACCTCTGGCAGTGAATTGTCACAAAAATCCTGTCGCCTGCTGTGTGCCCAAATATTTGTGCTATGTCGCCGTCGATGAGCATCAAATCTGGATTCGATATGTGCGACAGGGAAAATATTGCCAAGGAGCAGGTCTACATATTGTCTTTCCTCTGAAAGCTTCTTCGGCAGATCGAATAGAAAATACTCTAGAACCCATTCTAACTAGGAGTAAGTGATCTACCCATTTGGTTATGAAGAGTATGAAGGCTGAAACGGGCAATTAACCTAATCAATGCCTTGTGTTCCACTGCGTTACAGGAAAAACAAAAAACGTCAACGTAGATGTGTCCTCAATATCGTTAAAACCCCGAAGGAATGGGACAAAGCCAAAACCATATATATATAATATATATATATATATAAATAAATAAAACGAGACGAAACAGAAAAAGCTGAGAAGTAGCCAAGGGTTGGCTAAAATGTACGCCATTAGGCAGACGGAATGCCACAACCAAGAAACGGGGAGGCAAAAGCAAAAAGCAATTTCAAATATTTTCGTTACCTGCTTGTAGAAATTTTTACGTTTTCCCGATTACGAAAAAAGCTTCTTTTGCCCTTTCCTTTTTTTTTGATTTTATTGTTGTTGTGTAATTGTGCGCACAAAAAAATAAGAAGGTAGATGGAATGGGTTATGGGCAGAAAGGGGAAGAGTCTGGAACAAGCACAGCTGGGAGAAAGCACTTAAAGAAAGTCTTCCCTTCGCAGTCGCCTTTCTCGCATTCTTTGGCCTTCGTCCCCTCGGCTCTATTTTAGACATTTGAAATGCAAAGAAGCATTGCATACTTTCCAGCGTTCTAGTGGAACAGAGTGCCGAGAGAACAACATTGCATATTACAGCCCAGTAAAGTCGGGTGGGTGGAAAAGAAGGCTCCGGTTTTAGGTGCCCGCATTGCCTGGAGTTCTCATGCAGCTCGGGAAACAGTCAAAGAACGTCAGCGAAATGTTCCTTTTAAGGGATCGGATTTGTCGACTACCAAAACAAGACGAAGTGGTTTGTTTATTAACCAAGGCATTTGAATACTCGGCGCTTGAAAGAAAATTTTCGCTTAGTTTTGCTCAAGCAGTAAGATTTCAAGGTTAAAGAACTTCCGGACCTCCCTAAAAATGAAATACTAACTAAAAACTAATTTCTTACAATTTGTAAGAATCTGTAATATAACTGTGTGTATGAGAAATATTTTTCACAGTCACCAGTGTGCATGAGTAAAAACTTTCAAGAAAGAATTTCATTACTGCAATAGGGCATTGTTTCGTATTTAAAACAAAATCTATCTGCATAAAGTTATGTCCAAGAAAAATCAAAATTATCCTGCTGAGTCCTGCTGCCAGTGCTGAAGCCCCTCTGTTCCTCTCCCGGAAAGCTCTTTTCTCCTTTTTGGACCTATAAATAGACGCAGCTTGGGTGCTCCAACTGTTGCGCAGTTACAGATAACTAAAAATAGCAACCAGCTGCTCCTCCGCAGAGTGACATAAAATCCAATAAATGCTCATGCTTCTGCAGACAAACCCGAATTACTCGACACGTTCGTGTTTACGTGTTTTAGTGTAAACACACGCGGATGTGCCGATACTCATACACCTAAGCACTCCGATACACATTTTTATTTGTATAGCTGTTGGATGTTTATCAGCTTGTCGCATGATTGATTTATATGCCATGTGGATTATTAATGGACGGGGCCAAGTCGATTGAAACGACTCCGCAAGTCTCGGCTCATTCATTATTAAAACCCTAAAGGAGAGTGACACACACTATGACATACGGGCATGTGAGTAAAAAAACATATTGCAAATTGGTCATCCATCCTGTGTTTTGGGGAATAAATTTGACTGTTTACTAAAGTACATGAATATAACATAGGCTTATCGGAGTCCTTTGGGAATTCTAATATAATTTAGATTTAACAGGGCGTATGGGTGATAAATATTATTTCATTTCTAATTAAGTAGACAACAGTAAAATTACTTTTTTTAAAAACTGATATTTCTTGTTGAATCCAAACTGTTACCTTGCAAACGGAATCCCAGATTTCTCTCAATCAAAAAAAAAAAAAAAAGGAATTTTTGGAGAAGAGTGAAAGAATAATGGGGAAATTGGAGGGTAGCTCGGCGGTTAATTGCGAGTCCTCTGGGAACAGGCGTCGCCCGGTTAACTTTGTTTGCTCAGGCGGAGTTGTAAAATGGGAAATGTCGGGTCTGGGAGGCCAAAGTTGATTCAGGCAGCGGAAGCAGGACAAAGTGACAACTTCCTTTTTTTTTCTTGTTCTTGAGCGGCTTTCGGGCACCAAAAAAACGTTCAGCCCAGCAGACGCCCACCACTTTTAAAGCAGAAATACACATGTGACAAGTCGTTGGAGAGGCCTAAGTAAACCTGGTGGGCGCAGCTGACTGTTTTATGGCTCAATCATAATTTTTCACACTGTTAATGTGCAAATGCGATTCCAGACAGAGCCTTCCACCAAGGTGGTGGAAAGTGGGAGAAAGGAAAAGCTACTTGAAAAGCTGCAAACACTCAGACGGAACAAACACAAGGACGCACAGGGATGTGTGTGCCTGTGAGTGTGCGTGTGGTAAAGTTTTTCAAGTGTTAAATGAGATAACGTAAACATTGTGATGCTACTGCTGCTGGTGTTCTTGGTCCTGTTGCCAGGACAATGCCAAGCTCGTTGACATACTGACAAAGCGTAGTGCTTCCCCTTCTTCGATGCTCATAATAATTATTAAAAATAGCTCGCGCTGCTCCAAAGTTGATGTAATTTATTGTTAAACTGACATTTTGATTGCGCTTTTGTCTGAAGTACCTGCAAATATTTGTGAACTTTCTTTGATGCTTCAAGTTAATTGCGTTTCAACAAGTGGGCATCATCCAGCCCGCCCACCTT